GGGGGGGGGGGGGGGGGGGGGGGCGAATGTAAATTGTACGAGAGAGGACGGAAAGTAGATTTTCCGGCTTCCCCGCCCCCTCCCCCTTCTACTCACTAAAACCCTCGCACTTCTGTGTGTACGGTCGCCTCCAGTTCTATTGCTTTTCTTTTCGCGCATTTTAATGCGGACGAAAAATGCTAGAGGGGTTGTGAAAAGTCTACCGCTCAAGACGTTTTAATTGTTGTGTCGGATATTTAGTAAATTTATGGCCAGGCTCACGGCACGGTCTTAATAGCCTAAATGGAGTAAATGCCCTATGGTTAAGCGTGTCTCGATCGATGGGTACTCCCCACGAGACTTCGCTCTCTCATACTGACATCACAGTGTTACATTCTTGTTTCTTCGTGTTCGATGGATGGTGTAAGAGTGAGTCATCACTCCTGCCCGACTCATTATACGTGAACCACAACCTTGAGAGAGATCGGGCAAAAACTGTTCTTTAAGATTGTCTCTAACAGCCAAAGGGAAATCGAGATGAAGATGCTTAAATCTTTGCCGTTCTATGTCGTTACCGCTCTATTTGCCATAGGATGTGCATCAGGTATGGCAACGGCTTTAGATTTGATACTGTTCATCGCCTGCAATGTTAACTATGGGAACTGAGGCAGCTCCTTTCAAGAAGATTTTTTGGTTTGACAAAAACGCGACCCAAAATAGATACTGTATTAGATACTGTATACCCAAAAAGCCCGCAAATCTTAGAATAATCACTCTTCATACAATCCTGACCTACTAAAAAGTACAGTAAAACTAATTCGCCATTAAAATGGTTCGGGAACTTGTTTCTCGTGGTTTTAGTACACGCACAGAATAATGTATAATTCAGCTGCCTGTAAAATAAAACTCTCGATCAAGATCTTTAAATCCTCTGAAAAAAAAACCAAGCTTTTGAGAAGCAAGTACACTAGCCAAATCGAATTTTGCTACTGACTGTCTCTTAAAATTTTCGTAGATTGTGATCGAGTTGATAATGTTCGAATTGATGTAAATTCTTCAGTCCATTGAAGTGAAGACAACAAGATTGCTCCAGTCCATGAATAACTGGCGCCTACGTTATCGGCTTTCGGTTCTGACTAAATCTCACCATTTTCTGGTTCCCTTTCAGCATTGCCTTGTGTGCAAAAACAGGATCCCGGAATTCTGGAAAATATCGAGGAGACTCTTGGTAAGTTAAGCCAAAAACTACAAAGGTTTTTGATAAGGCCCTCGATTGAATTTCATACTTGCATCGATCTTCCCAAATCGATTCTTCGTCTTTACAAAATACCTCGAAATTAACTATAGTTGACTGTAGTCAGAAGTCGTGCTGTATTAACCTATCAAACAACTTGTAAATTACAGTTCTGTATTAACTCTTCTCGATGCTAATTGATTTTTGATGACACGTCTTTTATTTCAACTCATACCCAGGCAAACCCTGTCCTAGTGGCTGGACGCGGTTTAACGACAACTGTTACTTGGTGAGTAGCTCCATCAAGACTCGGTCCAGGCTCAAGCGTATTGCCGAACCCTGGGTGGAGGCTTGGTGAAGATCAACAGTCCTGAAGAAAACGAGTTTGTCCTGAAACTCGTGAGACAGCAAGCAAAATCAATAAAACAGGTTCGTATCGGGCTGAACTGGGATTCAATCGCATTCTACTGGTATGATCACTCTGTTCCAGTCTACACGAACTGGGCTCCAGGTGAACCGAATAGCAAAGGTGGAGAGCCATGCGTCCACATGTATACTGCACAGGGAAAACAACTTCCTTCCAGGGCATCTGGATACTGGAATGATGTTTCTTGCCACATACTTGCAGGCTGGCCCAATGGCATTGTCTGCAAGAGGCTGCCCTAATTGACAAGCCAACTTAACCAAAGATAAAAGCCGCCTAAGAGGACATGAGGTGATGGGCATGATATTCGCTTGGTATTAAGAAACAAAACTTGGAATCTTGCTGCGGGACATTTTAAAATGAAATAAAGTGAAAATAATTGTAAAAGGACGGGTTGTAGAAGAAATAGCGGTTTGACAATAAAAAATGTTACTATGAATTCTTTATTGCATTGCTTGTCTCAGCGACTATACGTTTTTACTACTTTGACTTAGTTTGTAATTACTTTCTGCACGAATTCATTTCATTGTTAATTTTGATCGATGCGCACTTTATCAACTAAAAACAATTACAATCCATCGACATTCATACCACCCATGACCCGAATTTTTAGTGACTAATCGACAACCCGTGTATCAGTCAGTGGATTCACTTTAAAGTTAACTAGAAGCGTGGGAAGGAAGGGAGGAAGGAGCGAAAGAGTGAAATTAAATGTATTTACAACACTGAGTAAACAAGATAGCTTTAAAGGAAACTAATCGCTAAAGAATATAACAAAAGTGATGAATTTTTGAAGAGTTTAAAACATTTGGAATGCGAAGCACACTGCAGTGTGCTTCGTATTCCAAATGTTTTAAACTCTTCAAAAATTTCCGAAAATATCCGGGTGTATAGTTTAATGGTAGAGACTGAAAGAGTAAATCAGTCACAACTGGAGGTTACAGAGCTTCTACCATAGAGGTAGAGTACGTGGAAGGCCATCATTTGACATCAAAAAAGGACAACTCTCAATTTTTTACTGAGCAGGCTTTCAAAGTGAAGGATACGGGTGGCCCCGCAAGAGTTTCCCTTTTCTGTCTTTTATCATACTTGATCTGTTGTTGAAACATGTAAGAAATTTTGACCGGTTTTATTCGTTTACTTGTGAGAGAAAATGTCTTGGATATTATGTAGATTACCCTCGAGGGATAATCATGAATTGGCGCTTTAAAGTCTACAAAACATAAAAGAGAGAATACTCAGGAAGACGGCTTTGTTTCGCAACTCTGCAACCGACAGCAGTTAATTTTTGAACCGAAACGGAGCTTTAATTTCTTTGAAAATCGCCGAGTCCAACCAACCAACCACTGAAAACTACCCCCGTTAGAACTTACCACCTTCCAAACTGTGGCCAAGTTCTTTCCATTATTAGCGTTTATCACAAACGAAGAAAAGAGTAAACACTCAAGAAGTCATCTTCCTTTCCCCTAGTCTACAACCCTGTCTGCGAGTTTTGCAACGAAACGGAGATTTCTTTGAAAATCACTGAACCCAACCAACCAACCAACCACTGATAACTACCCATTGAGAACAACTAATTACACCAAATTGTCGCTAAGTTCTTTCCATTATTGAAGTAATTTAGATTGGCGTTTAATATAGAGTTTTGCGTCTAAGTTGCGTGACATATTTTTGAGGTATTTTTACGATGGAGAGCTCGTAACTGTTTTTTCCCCTAAACATTTCTTTTAAGTCTAAAAGCAGTAATTAATTCATAGGGGTTCGGGGTATCTTGGAAAGAGAGGCCGATCCAATGGGCCAAAATGTGCATATAGTTTACTAATTAGCCCCCTTGGGGCAGGCATGTGCTCAAAGGGATTAATTGCGCAACGGAACCTACTATTGTTCATCATATTTCACTTTTGTTCGTGGTTTGTAAGTGACACGATAGTAAATTGCTTTCCCACCTACCCACCCTGGGTTGTTCTGAATAACAGAGAGGTTTATTATTTTCATCGTTTATCGTTTTGACTGCGAGTGTTATCTAATAATAAACTTCTCTATGTGCCAAAGCACAAATTGTGTTTGTTGTCTGTCTTGGGGGTCTGTTGGGGAAGTACAACTTTTAAAGTATTAAACGTTGTCTTTACACTCGACCACGTAGCGCAGTAAGTTCTTCACGCGATTGTTCCATGGATGCCTGCATGTGGGGTCTTCTACTTTTATACTTCGTGTCGTCCTTCCATAACCAAACCCGAAAATGATGCCAGTTATACTGCCAGTCATAACAAAGCTCTACTCGTCGCAGGTGATTTGTGACGTGATTTAAAAGACATAGGAAACATTGCGTGTCACGTCACACTGGACGGAAAATGGTACCCAAATGAGTTAACAAGTGAGGTGTTTAATTTGTTGTTCATATTTTTGGCCTTCATTTTCATAAAGCAAAAGAAGCTGTGTAAGATATACAACTAAACTGGATTGTCCCAGCCCTAGCAAAAGCTGAAATATCCATCAGCATGATGTTTTATTGTTAATTTTATTTCTGTGTTTAATAAAATACGAAAATAACGTTTTAAGGGAGGCAACATAAGTGGGGGGTTAACACAAAGTGTCCGCATCGTTTTGTTTCATTGTACGCTACGCAGTAAAAAAGCATGTAAGTCTTGTCCCGTGGTATGTTCATGACTGAATTCTCTCCTCAGCTGGTTCATCCTCGTCCATATCTTGAGATTTCTCTGTTAGAATCACGTATTCTCTTGTACTGAAACCAAATTTTAGAACGTCCTGCAAAAGTCAAATTAAAGGACACATTAGACCACTATGTTGGCTAACAGTACACCCTTCTGTTACTATTTTGCTGCTTTATTCTTACTTATTGTCAAGAGTTTTATACACGGGTTTCTGGTTGTTTGGATAAGGAGGGCAACCTTAACCCACGTTTTGACACTACTTAATTAATTAATTAATCAATTAATTAATTGATTGATTGATTAATTGATTGATCGATCGAGCGAGCGAGCGAGCGAGCGAGTGTGAGTGAGTGACGGAGCGATTGATTGATTGATTGATCGATCGATTGAATGATAAACCGTACTGCAACAAACTTATGGAATGGTTTGTTCCGTACAAAAGGGCATCAAGTTATAAAAAAATCCGATCAATCAAAGGTAGAAAAGTCATGTCGTGAACAAGTCCTCACTAAAAACACAAGAATGAAGTTATTGTTAATAGGATTGCTCCTGCTTGCTCCCCTGTAAGGCTACATATATAGATTGGTTTGTCATTGATTTTCCTTCTCTCCGAATTCTTGTGTGATAATTCTACCCAGATGAACGCTATGCTTGATTTCTGGTTCACACGCACGAGAAACATCTCACATTTTAAGTTTGACGAGCAAAATGTTGTTTGACGCAAGTGCGTCCATGTGGAAGGGGCCTAAAGGTTTATTGGCAATAAATAAATAATAAATGACTTAGCCTGTTCCAGGCTCTCGATCAGTGGGGACAAACGAAAAAGTGGGCGGGCGACGAGCGAGATCAGCGACGAGCAGGATCCGGGAGAGAAAAGGAGAGGACAGGTGAGCCTGCAAGCACTGTTTTAAAAACCTCATTCCGCCCACTTGACCTCATTCCACCCAATCCTGACCTCTCCTTATCTCTCCCAGACCCCGCTCGTCGCCCGCCCGCTCTTTTGATCGTCACCACATACAAACTCTCATGTATAAGCATACTAACCTTTTCTTTTAACTCATAGAATCTTCTGGGATCTATTTTCTGGTTGTTAAGAAATGTGCCATTAATGGAATCTAGGTCAATAATGTATGGCCTGAAATGTACACACAAAATAAACAACAAACAACGTTAACAAGTTTAACTTAATCAGTAAATAACCCAAATCTAGGTCATTGGCATGCAGATCCATCTGTCTCAAAACAAACAACTCCAGTTATCAACCTTCAAGATAAGCACACATACATTCCTCTAGTAATTTCCTGAAAGAAAATTAAGCAAATTCAAGTTTACCAAAAGTTAGGAAATAATGCAATTCGAGATCACAGAACACGCACAACTCACGAATTATTAGTAATGGAGGCACATGTAAAGGTGACAAAGCACCCTTTTGCGATTTTAGTTTTCAGCCATACAAGTAAAAGCCCTACAGAAAAAGCAATAAGTCTGTATACGAATGCAGTGGCCCATCAGGCCAGAGCTTATCCCGGTTTCTGTAGCATGAAGCAACTGGGAGTATTTCTACTCCTCCCTAGATGGGATGCTAGTCCATCGCAGGGTTACTCCCAGCATTAAGTTCGCCATTACCCATTTATACACCTGGGTGGAGAGAGGCACTGTGAGAGTAAAGTGTCTTGTCTAAGAACACAACACAATGTCCCCGGCCGGGGCTCGAACCTGGACCACTCGATCTGGAGACGAGCGCTCTAACCATGAGGCCACCGCGCCTCCCACAAAAAGCAATAGATAGCATCAAAACATCACCAAAAAACTTGCGTTTTTGTTTTAAGCAATACACCAAAAATTCAATAACAAAAAGTACAAAGACTGGAGGTGCGGTGGCGTCATGGTTAGAGTTACAGTAAACCTGAATAAGCCATTTAGGTCGTATCCTAAAGGGAAAACTCCCAAGGTATGTAATCAGATAGCAAAAACTATTTTATATGGAAGGCGTGGTGGCCTCATGGTTAGTGCGCTAGACTCTTGATCGAGCGGTCTAGGTTCGAGCCCTGGCCGGGAACATTGTGTTGTGTTCTTGCGCAAGACAGTTATAGTCTCACAGTGCCTCTCTGCCCCCAGGTGTATAAATGGGTACCGTCAAATTCACTGCTGGGGGTAACCCTGCAATGGACTATCTTCCAATCCAGGGGGGAAAGAAATAGAAAATATCCCTAGTCGCTTCATGCTACAGAAACTGGGATAAGCTCCAGCCTCCACTTGGCTTGTATGCAGACTTTTTACCGAGGCTGCAGCCGAGATTATAACTTACTTAACTTTCTTGCTTGCAGTGCCATCAGCTCGTTCATAATCCACCAGTCTGTACTGAAGAACTGCATGTTGTTTTGAACAAGATGGGTGATCTAGTGAAATATCAACTATCTGCAAGAAACACAGGAAGCGTTTAATAAAGATAGATGTGTTTTTAGCCCTTGACATTCTTGTTGCACCTAGAATCTAAGTCTACAACAAAGCATAAAATATATTTCTCAAACTCATCAATAATTCATCAAGTCTAAACAAAGGAAATCATAACAATGACTCACAGTGTTTAGATCACTGATCTCAATTACAACTGCAGCATGAATTTTACGATTTTTATTCTCCAATTTCTCCTTAGTTTCATTTCCAATTGAAAATACACATATCAAATTCTCGAGACCGCGTTGACTACATTTTCAAACATCTCGAAGTTCATCAATAATATTCCAACCTTCTTGGTGTTTGTGAATGTGGTCAAACTAGGCCTTTCGTGTTTGATATGTCACCAAGATCTGAAAAATGTGTGATGCTAACCATTATGTTCGGTCACACTTAACTAAAAAAGTTGCCATGTAATTATTGTTAAGTCAGTAACACAATCTAACAGAAAAAAATGTTTTCCCAAGGGTAGAGTACATCTGACCTTAAACATACTTTGAGCTACAGGAGACTTCAAGAACACTAAACAAGGTACATTGCTATACATCACCATCTGACAAACCACAGCATTGACTGGGACTCTGCTCAATGCTTAACCTACAGCACAAACTATTTTCAACGAGTGACTCTGGAAAGCTGGTACACTAACTTAGAACAAATGCCTCTTAACAGATGTCAACAACTACTGGCACCTTACAAACAAGATAACCATGACATAAAAAAACCAGAACACAGACCTCTAACAGACCGACTTAATTTGACTAACAACAGACAGACCGCAAACAGACCAACTTAATTTGACTAACAATAAGCAGACCTCAAACAAACCGACTTAATTGACTAATAATAGACCGATTGAAACTGATTAGAACTGACCAATGACTGCTGACCAACTTTAAACAAGTCTTACAGCCAATACCATCATGGCTAAACTGACCAATCACTTTCAACAGACCAGACTTGTAACGCCATTGACTGACAAACACTATTCACTTGGCTCTGAAGATGACCTCCACTCAGGTGGTCATGTTGTCAGTCACCAACAACAGTTCATTTCAGAACTACCCTCACCCAGGTGATCATACTATATGAACTATTTATCAGTGGTAATAGTTACATGTACATGTACATGTACAGTCTGTAGTTGACAAGAGTGTTCATACATACATGTTTTTGTCTTCCAAGCAAATATGCACTTTGTCTGTGAATGTACATAACAGCTGAAACAAAAAAACAGTAAATTTGTGAAAAAGGATTTTGTTCTTCATTGTGGTAGGATACAATAATATTAAAAAATATATCATTTGTCTTATGAAGTAAATGTAGTCACTTGAGGTGTAGATCACCTTTTCAATGCTAACTGCTTGTGTTCATCAGGTGATGAGGTCGAATGATCATGCAATACCATTTTTAAAAGCCTTTACCACTAAGTGAAGTGCCTCATAACAAAACTTCAAGCATTTATCATCTGCTCTTTGTTCTAATGTGGTTAGTTCACTAGCCCTTAGATTGAGTGGTCTGGGTACAAGGCCTGGCCGGAGACATTGTGTTGTGCTTTTGGCCAAGACACTTTTACTCTCACAGTGCCTCCACATTACCCACTTATACTCTCACAGTGCCATTCAGGTGTATAAAAATGTACCAGTGAATTTAGTGTGTGTGTGGGAGGGGGGGAGGGAGGAGGGAGGAGGGGGGGTAGCCCCAAGACGGACTAGCATCCCATCCAGGGGGAAGTAGAAATACATGTACTTCTACATGTAGTCAGGTCATGCTACTGAAACCAGAGATAAGCTCCTGCCTGATGAACCACTTGGCTCATATATGTATTTATGAAGACTACCTTTACCTCGTTATAAAATGATGGTTGCCCTAGCCCAGCTCTTTAAGACCAGGAGACAAATCCCCAGAGCACAGCCCTTGACTGAGCTCAAATTCACTGTTATTTTGCCCATGTGAACGGATTATCAGAGCCACTTCACCACTGCCTACAACCACAAAGGGTATGGACTTAGTACGACCAAAGGACGTTATTAACCTGACCAAGGGCATTGTTTACACAATTTCCTTGTAGATGTAGGGACGTCTATGTCAGCAAAACTGAGAGATTGATGCAGGATAGGATCAAGGAGCACTACCAGGATATTTGTCTTGCCCGTACCTAAACCTCTGTCAGAGCATGCCCACAAGACTGGCTATCATCTTCTTTGGAGCAACCCTCACTAGTACACACCAAGGTCTACATAACACTTCACTCTACATGTAACAACATCAACAGGGATAGTAAAACTGAGATCCCATGGTGTGGATGCCCACGGTCAAGGAACACAACAACAGCAGATTACAGCGGGAACAACTTGACACCGAAACAACAGAACAATGGACGATGCATCAATCACTGCCCATTTTTGAGATATTAATTGTTCCATACACTTGGTCAAAACTTTGTGATCTGCATCTCAAGTGATTCAATTGTCTGCATTTCTTACTGTACAGTATCATTAGTGACAGGAGTGAGAAACATACCATGTACTGTAAAGTGTTGTGATCAGGCCTGTTTACATGATTGTGTATGACTGTAGTCATGGGTTGGATAAATAAGTGAGATGAAATTGTTACAGAACATGTACATCTACATGTATGTAGATGCAAACACCCAATGCCACTCCTTTAATGATTATCAAGACCATTACCACACTAGCTAGAGCTAGGCCTTGGTATAGTAATGAAAATCTGGTGAGTTGCACAGGAGGTTAGGGTATCGCTCTTGTACATCTGCTTGCTTATTGATGTCAAGCATCATTTAACTTACACATGGCCTGTTCCCCTTTAAAGGGATAAAGACGCCACCTTGTCTTCGGCTTTCTAGCTTCAGGAGGTTCATTATATTTGATGACCACACCCTAACAACAGAAAGTAAGTAATATATAGTACAAGTTACATACAGTCAACTCTATCAATTTGAAAGCGGACACTATTTTCGGCCTGACACAAACTCTGTAAGGCTGAGTCCAGCTTGAATTTTACTTGTTTCTTTGTAGCCAAGAACTCTATTTAAGATGGACAACTTTCTAAGGTGGAGAGGAAAAAATCTGAACCAGGGGTGTATAATGTGCCGTATGTACTTTGTTGCTACCATGATGTACTATATGCTCAATACATGTAAAAGCATGCATTTAAACAAACAACCAGACATCAGAAAAGTAACCAACTACATGACTGTGCAGTTACAATTAGTAAAAACTGAAATGGCTAGATTGTGAGTGAGAGTGGGAAACACTGAGGTCTTCTTCCTTTATAGCATAAATTGAATTTAGGAAGAACATGAAATTTGAAAAAAACAACTTTTGAAAAGGGTGTGCACTAAGCAAAAAAAAAAGAGCTGATCATTATTTTAATCAACTTAAAGTGCTACCATTTCTATCCCTTGATTTTTTTAGGTTAGGTTTATCACATAGAATTCCACAAAAGAAAAAAAAAAAGAAAAAATGCATTTTTTTTTAGGTCTTCTTCCTTTACAGCATAAATTGAATTTAGGAAGAACATGAAATTTGAAAAAAAAACTTTTGAAAGGGGTGTGCACTAAGCAAAAAAAGAGCTGATCATTGTTTTAATCAACTCAAAGTGCTGCCATTTCTATCCCTTGATTTTTTTATGTTAGGTTTATCACATAGAATTCCACAAAAGAAAAAAAAAATGCAGTTTACTGTTTGCAAATATCTGCATTAGTTCCAGAGATATTTAAGTGTGAAAACTGTGTAAAATATGCAAATGAGATGACTGATGACATCATGCACTCAACCAAATATTTTCTCAGTCAAATAGAGCTATCTCAGTCAATTTGCAGCACAGACCATTAAAACTTGGTAGGCTAATGTAGTTGTACAGGTAACACATCTATGGCTATAAAAAATTCTGTTTCCAGGTCAAATCTCTCTTTTCCAGTCCACGCCCAATTGATTTCAATATTTTAATAATTTTCATGAGGTCATGAACTTGAGCTAATGTATTTATATGCTGATTGGATCATGCAGATGACGCACCATTGGCAAATATCAAAATGGAATGCCAAAGGTGGCTAGAAAAACCTTTAATATTGGGGAAGTCTTGAACCCAATATGTTGGCATGGTAACAACACTGTTAAACTCTTATTGTGGAGCACATTTAGTAGAATCTTACTGCCAAGAATCCAACATTTCTGACAGAAATTGGTTGAGATATCTCTCTTCATCACATTTGGTCAAAATTTTGTTGAGTTATGACATCATCACAAGTTGGCTAATTTGCAAATTTTAAAAACTTGACTATCTCTGGTACAAAACGGGATATTTGAATAAAAGTAAACAGCGTTGTTCTTCTCATACAGACTACTAGTTCTTGTTTTAAAATGGTTTAGAAAGGAAAGATGTGAATTTCGTTATTATAGTAGCATGTTAATGTACATTTTGAGGCTAATGAAAATAATATAGAGCATATGCACTCTTGTGTCCAGCGGCCATGCAAATTTATTGGAACAAAAGAAAGTGTTTACATAAGAAAAGAGTTGAACTCCCAAAGGATTGGTTTGGTACACCAACATGGCCACCGTGTCATTGTTTTGGAACATCAATATGGCTGCCATGACGTCATGTGCATATGCTCCATAACAGCAAGTGAAGTTAACAGGAGAGGCATACAATGTACCTTGTATGTGTTTGAATATTCTGTCAATTTTCCAGAGAGGTTGTAGTTAGGCCCTTCAACTTGCACGTCACTTTCTCTTCTACTTTCTTCGTCCACAGCCTGTTCCAGCCTAAATGTTAATGTTAATGTACTTCATTAAGGCAAGCATAAAGAGCATTACAAAAAAAATGCCCTCCGATCATTCCAGACAAGTAGATTTAATTTACTACTGGTAATGGTACGGTAGTGCAGTAGCTTTTCATTCTCACATGCCCAATGGGCAAGGGCCCAGGCAAGTTGTCTTTCAACCAGATTAAAAAAAAAAAAGTAGACTAAGACTTGCCCAGGGCAAGCAAAATTTGAGAGCTGCTTGTCCAAAGAGCAAGCTAGAAATTATTCATTTTTTTTTGAGCCCTGATACTACTGAGATGAGGCTATGACCACCCCTCCCCCCTTGCCCCCATATTCAACCACTTATGGTCATGTGACTGAACAAGGTCACAATGCAACTGTAGAAAATGTAAAATAATTATTCATTTACTGAATAAAGGCTGTGTGAAAAAAAGAAAAGTTTGTCTGTAAAACTATTTCTTGAGTTACTTTCATCCAAGGCCACAAGCACATGTATGTCAAATAGTTTATGAAGCTCCCAGAACAGGTTAAAACATCAGTCCAGCTAAGAGATTTAAAACCATGCAGGAGCTAAAATACCTGTCCCACAGACAGGGACATGTACATTTTAAAAATTAAATATTACACATTTTTCGTTTTTCTGCATCCCAAGATACATGTACTAGTACCATATTTATTTGCCAATAAGCCAATCGATTTTTGCACCAAATAAAACTGGGAATAAGTGAAATCTCCAAAAAATACATGTAGGGGGTTCGGCTTATAGCCAGTTATTATTTCTGCCAAAAAATTTTTGCTAGTGCTACAAGAGCCTCAACTGAATGTTTATATTCCACTATAAGCTTAGCAATTATCAACAAACAAATTAATCAGTGTATGTAAATCATTGTTCTTGGTCATAAACTTTTATTTAAGTGATGGCTCCTAAAGGACCTATTTTGTTTTGGTGACTCCATGAAATTCAATGAAGTTTTCAGTGTTAAAAATTTACATTTATTGTGAAAGGCTAAAACTAATTTAATAATAGAGAAAATATTTCTGACTGAGAATTTTAATATGACGCCCCAAAACTGTTTACTCCCATTTGCTTTTAAATACCAAAACAATTCAACACAACTAGATAAACATGTATTGGAAAAATGTTTTATTTATAATAAGAAATAAACTGCCTAACAATGCTAAAAACATTTCGATAAAAAGAACAACTCTTCCAGTTCAATGGCATGCTCTGATCTACAAGAAAGTACTAAATGGCATGCCAATGGGCTCTCTAGCCTAGGGGCCTTTCCAGTCTAATTTTTGTTGTTGTGCTCAATCGAGGAAAAGCTGGAGTGCAATATCTAGTTGCAAAAAGAATTTTACGAGTGGAATGTTGATGACACTGTACTAGCAACACTACCAGCAGCTACAATACTTAAATCTTTTTTGTCAACACTACGTATGGGTTATTGACCAAGCGTGAGGTCAAGATTGCTGGATATTGGCCAAGTTCTTTTTGTGCGTGTTTATGGGCCGAGACAGAGTCAAGGTCCATAAACTCGCAAAAAAAGAATGAGGCCAATATCCAGCCATCTTGACCAAACAAGTTTGGTCAATAAAGGATTTATTATATGGCTTTTGCAGAAATTTTTCTTGCGGGACACAGCGGGTAGTCCTGAGCGGGCAAGATAGCTCCATCTTGCCCGCTCGGGTAGCCAATCAGAGCACAGGATTTGATTCATCTTGCCCGCTCATGGAGCTAGCCATATAATAAATATGGGTTATTGACCAAGTGTGAGGTCAAGATGGCCCTGGATATTGGCCACGTTCTTTTTTTGCCTGTTTATGGGCCTCGACTCCATCTTGGTCCATAAACACGCAAAAAAAGAATGAGGCCAATATCCAGCCATCTTGGCCGAACAAGCTTGGTCAATAAAAGATTTCTTATACGGCTTTTGGGGAAATTTTTTCTTGTGGGACATGGCGGGTAGTCCCGAGCAAGCAAGATAGCTCCATCTTGCCTGCTCGGGTAGCCAATTAGAGTGCAGGATTTGATTCATCTTGCCAGCCCACGGAGCTAGCCATATAATAACTGTAAATAACTGCCATCCAGCAATAAGGTAAATACAGTGAGGACACTAACAAACAACACACTTCCAGAGAGACACTACGTCAGTTTATCGGAAACCTCCCTCTCTATCAAAACCATGTGGACCGCAGATACAAGAGATCACGCAGCAAAACCGTGTTAAATCAAGCCTGCACCTTTCATCTATTGGGAACTGTTCATAAGTGAATGGGAGAACCTAGAGGAGATGTTTCTTAATTAATGTCAAGTAACTATCAAATCTCCTTGACTCAACCATCGGCACTTTCATCAATTCATTGATGATGGACCAACAACATCAAGCAAAGCAGACAAACACATTGAAATAATATTGCCTTTCACATATCAGTAATCAGACAAAGCAAGCAACAAGCAACTGAACTACAGTTTGAAAAATCAAACTTGGTGGAGCAAAGCCACCCTTAGTAAGCCAACAATGCCTTGTCTACAGTTTAAGTAATTACCAGGCTAAGACGTAGGCAGGCCAATGGCAAACTCAATTAAAACGTGCCAAAGATTATAATTTATCATTTCAATCAAATGGTTGAATTTGATCGATTATAATATAAGAATATTGTACAAAAAAAAAAGGAAAAGAAAAGAAAAAAATGAAAAAAGTACTTAAAAACACTCCTGCTAAGGCACTAGATGCCTAAATTCTTACCTAGCAGAATGACCTCTGTCACCAGTTCTGTTGTGGGATGTTCTTTCTGCAGAATAATGAAGAATTCAAAGTAAAATTGCAGTAATAGAATTAAGTTTGTATGCATGATAATGTTCAGACAAGTAACTAACTTCGTCTATAATTTCTCTTTACCTTCAGCTGGGTTTTCACGCCTTTGTCTGTCTCTGACCCTACTTCTGTCTCTGGAATATGTAGTCTGAAAAAAGTAAAACATATCAAAAAATATGCTTGCATTTTATTGTATAATACAGCCGAGCATTCTAAAAGAGAATAAGGTGGACCCTATTCCCTAATTATGCCACTCTCCCAACAGAGAATATACTTTCTCCTCACTCACTCACTCATCCTCATCGGGCCAATGAGGACTCTTGAGGCCGGCCAGAAGATCACGCCACCCATTCCGGTCTGAGGCCGATGCAGCAGCAGCTCCCCATGTATGCCATCTGAGCTTGTTCCTTTCCTTCTCCATGGTTCTTCTCCACGTCTCCCTCGGTTGACCTCGCCTCCTTTTACCTTCAGGTGCCCACAACAATGCAGTCCTCGAGATGTTGTCAGGAATTTTCCCCTAACCATCACCATCTTCTCACTCGTATAAGGACTGACACTGGCGTACTCCCTGAGGCTTCGTACAGCTCTTCGTTGCTCAAATGGTTGGGCCAGAATCTCCTCAGCACTCTCCTAAGGAATGTGTGGTGAAACACATCCAATTTGTCGAGATCAGTTGCTGTCACCCTCCACATTTTGGCCCCATACAACAGCACAGACATGACTGAATCAGAAATCTACCTGACCTCCAGATGTTCTGAAGTCTGGTGAATGCAGTTCTCACTAGTGCTAGTCACCTCTTGATGTCTGCTTCTGCACCGCCAAGTTTGTCAAGTACTGAACCTAGGTACACAAAGGATTCCACATCTTCCACCTCCTCTCCTTCTATCCTGATGTAGTCCGTGCATCTGTGGTTCATCCTTAGCGTCTTTGTTTTGCGCGAGTTGATCTTAAGCCCAACAATGCCAGCTGTGGCTGCTAACCTATCAGTCCTCTCCTGGAGATCAGTAAATCTACTTGAGATTAGAGCAACATCATCAGCGTAGTCCGGGTCTTCTAGGACTGATGTGAATTTCCATCTCAAGCCGCGTCTCCTATCATTTGTGCGCCACATGATCCAGTCCATGATCAAGACAAAGATGAAGCCAGACAACACACACCCTTGCCGCATGCCACTCTTCACTTCGAACCAGCTAGAATACCTTCCCCCTTCTGTGACGCAGCTTGAGCTCTGATGATATAGTGCCTGAAAAGACTTGATAAAGATGTCAGGGATGCCATACTGCCCCATAACATCCCAGTCTCTCTCTGATAATGCAGTCGAAAGCCTTCGAAAAGTCAACAAAGTTAATGTACACTGGTGCTTGCCATTCCTGGCACTGCTCAAGGATGTTCCGAAGTGCAAAGATTTGCTCAGAGGTTTCCATTCCAGATCGAAATCCTGCCTGCTCCTGCCTAATCATCTCGTCCACACTGCCCTTCTATCTGTCAATGTGGACCCTGCATAGGATTTTGCTTGGTATGGAGACTAGGGATATACTGCGATAGTTATCACACTGAGTGAGGTCACCCTTCTTCAGCACTTTCACTATCAGTGACTTCTTCCAGTCCTCTGGTACACATCGTTCTTTCAAGATAGCATTAATAAGTAAGTGGAGTTGTTTCACAGCATCCTTCTCAGAGCACCTGAGCAACTCGGCACTGATGCCATCAATCCCTGGACTCTTGCCATTCTTCAGACGGTGGATTGCTCTCTTAATTTCAGCAACTGAGATGCCGCTAGTGTCAATGCTTGTGGTGACCCCAGGTGCTTGATCTATCACTGGCAAGGGTAAGTCAGGTCGTTGTACATTCAAAACTTCCTCAAAATGTTCCCTCCACATTTCTAAGACTTTGTCTTCATTTACAAGTTGCTTGCCCTCTTTATTTTTGATGGAAGTCATATTCCTTCCCTGTCCAGCTATCTTTCTAGTGAGCTGGTACAGGTCACCACTGCATTTGTTTCTGGCTGCTGTCTCAGCTTCCTCTGCTAAGTCGTTCAGCCATCTCTGCTTGTCTACCCGGGCTTTGGCTTTTGCCTCCTTGTCCTTCACTGCATATGCAGCAGCGGCTCTCTCCTTCATGCAAGCAGACCGTGTACATCCTATTTTCGCCTTTAACCGTCGTCTCTCTTCAATCTTCTTGTAGGTCTTCCCACTGATCCAGTCACTCTTCACTCTCCTCTTCTCTCCCAGCACCTTCTTGGCACTCTCATTGTAGACCTCCTTGAATTGTCCCCACATCTCTTTGATATCATCTGCCTCATCCGTCCCTGGAATCAGTTGCTCACTTCCAGCCAAAATACCTCCTTGACACAGGGATCTCGAAGCTTCTTGATGTCAAAGATGGTCCTCTCCTTCCTCTTCCTCTTTGTGCTGCATAGCTTCAGCCTAACCTTTCCCATCATGTGATGATCCGAGTTGGCATCAGCCCCTCTAATTGCTCGGGTGTCCATCAGTGAACCTCTGTATCTACCACTGATGATGATGATATAATAATAATGGTTGATTTGATTCCAATCTCTTCCATTCCGATTCTGATTCCGATCTCTTGCATTCAGGGAGGTCCATGTCCTTGGAAGACAGTGAGTTTTGCATAGCATGAGTTGAAGCATGCACTCATGATTCTCTTGTTGACAGGGTTCCACCTCAGCAGCATTTTTCTTACATGTTCTTCCTTTTTTAGAATAAGTCCCACTCCCCTATGATGTTCCTCTTCTGCTCCAGAGTACAAGATACTCTCACCTGTTGCTGTTCTCAGTTCTCCAAAGCCAATCCATTGTATTTCACTCCTACCAAGTATGTCCAAATTGTAGTTCCTGAATTCCCTGGTGACATTAACAGTCCTTCCTATCTGATAAAGTGTTCGCACATTCCAACACCCAAGTCTCAGGGTAGCTTTGGGTGTCAGGAGGGAAGCCCCAAGCAACTTAATCAGGTTGCAGGGGTCCTTGTGGCTTTGCCCCACATCCACCATAATACCAGTATTCCAGCTTAGAAAGCTATCATCGGGTAGCTCACACATTGCCCGATGACATTCTCGCATGAGTTCGTCAATCATCTTTTCAGTTTCCGTAATCAAGTATTTTTATGGGGTGTGGGGATTAGCCGCACGCCCAACCCCCAAACTGGAGGGCCAGTGACTACCATTTAGTCTGGCCTATACCCCTTGACCTGCCCGCCAAGGTTAGACCTGCTGGGGAAAGACCCCTGACGGTATAACTCTCAGGGTCATTGAGGGTCATACTTTCTCCTAACTACATGTAACTGTTGATTGTGGGAGGTGCGGTGGTTGCATGGCTAGTACACTTGTCTCCGGATCGAGCAGTCCGGGTTCAAGCCTTGGCTGGGGCTGTGTTCAAGCCCTGTGTTGCGTTCTTGGTCAAGACACTTTACTCTCGCCGTGCCTCTTTCCACCCAAGTGTA